TTTTCTGTAATCTTCTTATACATTATTAAATCATCTTTATCTTTGTCGTCTCTTCCTTTTTTTTGTGATTGGGCGCCGTTTTAGGACCATCTTTGGCATCCTGTAATTATCCATTCTCATCACATGTCTCATTCTAATCTTTGCAACCCTATGAAGTGACTGATGCTATGTTTTTTTTTTATACAATTGCTCTACCTCCTTATTTGTTTGTCGTACTCAACCTTACACCGTGTTTTTGCCTCCATTTATGGCTCTGAACATTTTTGTTTTGCACCTTTCCAATTTCTCCATATCTGTTGTTTTATTGTGCATACATCACTAACTATGTTACTGTTGGTGTTACAACTGTCTTATAATTTTTTTCTTAGTACTTGATACATATTTGGATTTAGTCAGTGTTTTTAGACTTTCCTTTTTATATTTTCTTTTGCCAATCTAACTTTTAGCTTGAGTTTTTTATTTAATTTCTTTTTTATAGTAACCTCCAGATAAGTAAAATGGTCCGCTTCCTTCAGTTTATATATTTTTGTTTCATTAGATGTGAAAGTGAATTGACGCTTTTCTTTTTTGCTCTGTATTATATACTTTGACTTATCCTAGTTTATTTCTAGGTCAAAATATCTTGCCAAACCATGCTACATGGTTTCTAACCAGTGTTATTTTTATTGACTTAACCAGTTTGTAAGTACGCCCAATGAGCTCAGTGCTCATGAGCTCATATATATATATATATATATATATATAATATATATATATATATATATATATATACAAGCTATACACTTCCAAAGAAGCTGAAGCTGTTTTCACTTCTGGATCTTCTTGTGTCGAGGATCATCCCATTCTGGGTTTGGTTTTACAGTTTGTGATGTGACTTCGCTGTTTCCGTTCTTTTTTCTTTGATTGTCTTTTCTACATTTTTAATTTCCATACTACTTAAGTCTTCTTCCATCTGTTGTCTCTATCTCAGTTTAGATCTGCCTCTGGTTCTTTTACCTGGTGGTATCCATTCCGTTATAACTCTTCTCGCATTGCTTTTGTTTCTCCTCATTATGTGTGCATACCTTTGAATTCTTTGTGCTTGTATTGCTCTAACCATGTTCTCTTGACACATCCATTCATGTATTTCGTGATTCACCCATTGTCTTGCATCCTCTTCGTTTTTCCTTTGGTCCCAGTATTTTTCAAATAATCTTCCTCTCAAAATCTTTGAACTGCTCTTCTTCTCTTGCTATTAATGTAAATGTTTCTGTATCATATATTACTTTGGTTTTATGGTCATTTTGTAGATTTTCATTTTTGTGTTTCGACTTATCTTCTTATCACTAAACATTTTTTTTATTTCTATAAAACGCTGTATTTGCTGCTGGAATTCTTCTTTTAATATCTATACTCTCCCAAATAGTTGCATGTTTCAACTTCTTCGAAACTGTGTGCATCTATTGTCAGTTATATCATTTGTGTCTTCTTTTTCTTGCTTACGTTAATTTTTTTTTTATTTTCATTTATTTCCAGTCCTTCCAGTTTAGCATTGTTTTCTATTTCTTGGAAGGTTTTCTTTAATGCTCTTTTATCTGTTGCTACTATGGTTATATCGTCCGCATATTCTATCATTTGTACTGCGTTCTTGTTTATACTTCCTGCGTTTGACAGTTTTTTTATTATCTTGTCTAGTGATAGAATAAATAGTACCGTTGAGAGCTTATCTCCTAGTCTTGCTCCACTTTTTATTTTTATTATTTCTGTTCTTTCTCTTCCGGTGTCTATTGTTGCTTGGGAATCTGGTATTGTCATTTATATAATTCTTATAATTTTATTTGGAATATCACTCTCTTGTAAGTCTTGGATCATTTTTCTTCTGTTTAGTTTGTCAAACGCCTGTTTGTTTAAATTCTAGTAAAAGTATATGTGTTTCTCCGTCGTACTCGTATGTTTTCTCTATCACTTGTATTAGCGTATGTATAGCTTCTATCGTCGATCTATCGTATTCCTCTGTCTTACTCGTATGTTTTCTCTATCACTTGTTTTAGCGTATATATAGCTTCTATCGTGGATCTTCTTTTTCTGAAACTGTACAGGTAATTTACTATGCTTTGTTCTCAATATATTCTTAATGTAACTCTAACTATACCAGTAATTACTTTATATGTTACATTCAATAAATTAATTGCTCGGTAGTTTTTGCATATTCTATGGTCTCCTTGTTTTGGCATTATCTCGCTTCGAGCATTATTTCTTTGCTCCATATATTCATCCAGGAGTAGCAGACGTTATTGAAAGGATAACAACACTAAAGTGGAACTGGGCAGGTCATGTAGCAAGATCAGTTGATGACCGGTGGACAAAAAGAATTTTGGAATGGAGACCCCGAATACAAGCTTACAGAAATAGAGGTCGACCCCCAACGAGATGACATAAAAAGATTGACTACAAATTGGATTCAGATGGCGCAAAATCGGACTAAGTGGAAAAGCATGAGAGAGGCCTATGTTCAGCAGTGGACGTTAGAGGCTAGTTGATGATGATGATGATGATTTCTGTATAGTGTCTTCTCACCGTATTTTATAAATTCTGCACATATTCCGTCTTCTCCCGCTGTTTTCCCGTTTTTTAAGTCTGCATATTTTCTCTTTCACTTCTGTATAGGCCAATTCTTCTTCTTTATCTTGTTCCGTGTTCGTTATTGTTTCTCTTTCTTTTTCTCTTTCCGTTTCTTGATTTCATAGAAGTACTTCTGCCATTTTTATGCTTATAAACCTACTTAAAATCTATGAATATTGAATGGAGGGTTATATTATGCTCATAATAGATGGTGTGGATTTCTTTTAGTATCAAAATCTGATCTATAACTCATTCATTATCTCTTAAATCTGCTTGATATTCGCCTAACTTATCTTTGGCTCTCTCTTAGCATCTTGGATAGTTTCGTTTAATAAGCATCCAAAAGGCCGATATCTCTGTACTTTTCACATGACACTCACTCCCACTTTTTGTGTATAGGACATAGTAAAGGCTTGATTCAGTCTTTGGGCTTATTTTTCACTTGCTATTCCTCTTGATAAAATATAATATCGGTGTACCAATATAACAGTGTATCGAATAAAACAATTCGACGATGTCCAACACAAACTTTGTTTTATTTTCATTTAAAGATATGAATCGTTTACTTGAACATCCTACAGAATAATATTAAAATTTGATGACAAATTGTTCAGAAAAATATTTCAAATTACTTGTAAATAACCTTATTGAATCTTAGAACTGTATATTTTCAGGTATGGCTTGGGGTAATAATTACAGCAGAAAACAATTGCAGAAAAGATATCCGGGTTTTGGTACTGATTATATTATTTTTCCCGGAGAAAATGGAGAAGACGTCTATGGATATTACAACGATAAAAGACAGACAAGATTTGGAATAGACATATTTGATCTTCCGTTTTTAGACCACGATTTTAGTAACGCCATTAATTTTACATTATTTACTAGGTAAAGTTATAAATTAATAATCTGCAATATGCTATGACTAACTCTTTTTAAGTTCTACCTAATAGCGTCTTCGATATCACTTTCAGTTTCAGTGACTTGATAAAACGGTATCATTTTAAATTGTTAAATTTGTTATGTTATTTGTTAAAGTGTTAAATTTCTAACAAATAGACTAGTTACCTAAAGAACTATTTAATTTATATACCTCCTGATATATTCAAAGAATATATTCTTTCTTGAAATTTTAGAGACGTCCCTTATGGCTGGGTGGTCGACAATCCAGACAAACTACCAAATTATTTAATAAATAACACAAACGTTAAGTTTGTAACTCATGGCTGGATGTCGAAAGGTACAGCAGATAACTGTGTCAAAATAAAGGACGCTTTTTTAGAAAAACATGATATTAATGTTTTTATTATGGACTGGAGCTCTGTTTCCGGTAGGTTGTATAATCTGTATGTTTAACAATAGTTTATTTAAATGGTAAAAAAAGAAAAAAGAACAAAGATTTAATCACATTTGGTTTTATTGTAATTGAGACGACCGATTTGGGGCTTTACAAATTCAGACCATCATCAGGTTCAAAGTTGGAAGACCATCAACTGTTGATTAGGAAGTGTCCATTCTCTAAAAACTATGCAGTTTTTCCATATTTTTGGCCTCTATTATACCTAGTACGTCTATTTATTTTATTAAATTATTCAGCAAGTTCAACTTCTTTGCCGTTAAGCAATGTCGTTAATCTAATATCCATCCTTTGGGATTGGAAACTACTCTGTTATTGTGGGCCATGTCATTGGACTCTTCTTTTTACATGTTGGTTATAAATATTTACTGTTTATGATGTCGATCGTTGCTGGCTGCAATTTTAGGGGTTTTTCTTTTCTTGTCACTCTTGCTGTTGCTTACAGTCTTGCTCATTATTTATGCATCTATCTGTATATTTGTTGCTTCTTCTATAATAACTCAGGTCCATTGTCATTACCTTGTTCGTTATAGTATTTCTGCAGCAATGGTTTATGGTTTTTTTCTCCATTTTGACCATTTTGTTCTCTTTATTGTCCCATTTCCATCCTACTTCACATTTTATTTATACCCATTCTTACATAATTTCCTTTTTCTTTTTCTTCTCGTGCAAGTTTTATTAATGTTTTTTAAATTCCTCCTTCTTTATTCGTGGTATCGTCATTGATGTACATTTTCCTTCTTTAACATTTCTTAGTTTGGATTTATTTTTCATAACCTTTACCTTTTCTTTATGTTCTGCCAATTTTATCAGGCAGGTTTTCTCTCCCAGTTTGTAAGAGTCTTTAATTTTCACATCTATTTCCAAATTATGGTTAATAAAGTTGTTTCTCATCCCCTCTTTTCCAACGGTTTGATCGTATAAATCAATTGCTAGCAATATTTTTTATATTTCAGGAAATCCATTTTATCCTGTTCCTATGGAAGCCACACCACATATTGGAGAAGAATATGCAAAATTTATCAATATTTTGATAGAAAAAATGAACGTGAATCCAAAAGATATTCACTTAATAGGTCACAGTCTTGGAGCACATGTTTCTGGATTTGCTGGTAGACGTCTCAAGAGAAGGATTTCCAGAATAACTGGTATGTGTAATAACAATACTCATCTTAATACTTCAATGGGATCGGAAAGATCAAGGTTCATCCTACATTAAGACTTGTGGAATAAGGAAAATACAGCTACATTTGGATGCGTCATTTTTATTTATTACCCAAAGCTCTGAACCATATGTAGCAATGCTTTCTATGATACTTTTTTATATCCTAATTTCTGTGTTTCTGGTGATGTGGTTATTCCAAAGTATACTATTCAGTTGACATATTGCTGAATTTCCTTGACCAGTTTCTTCGCGGTAGGAAATATCATATATTTGGTAGCCAATATCTTGGAATTATGTTCGATCTTCTGTCAGAATTTGTTCATAATATTCGACCCATAATTCTGGGGCTATTAGAGTTAACCTACTGCATTCTTTTCTATCCATTTTACTCCCTCTAGTTGTTTTCCAGGCTTCTTTACTTCTTGCTGTACCCATAAAATTTTCTAAGTTATCGCAGGCTTTATTCCACATCTCATTTTTGGCGTTACTTACCTCTTTTTTTAATTCTTTGTTTTAAGCTGTTGTACTGTTGTCGATAGTAGGGGTCCTTTGTTGCTAGTCATTTGTTATACATATTCTTCTTCTTCTCCACAAGATCTTCTACTTCTTTATTCCACCATTCATTTCTATTTTTTATGCTATCCACATCTCCAATAGCTTCCATTGCAGCTTTGTCAAGAGCTTTCATAATTTAATTATTACTCGCCAATTATTACTCACTTATCCTCACCAATTAATACGTTGTACGTATTAATTGGTGAGGAGTAACAAACATCGTGCAATTTCAGATTCAACCTCATTCGATACAGAAATTGGGTAGACCTATTTTCAAAACCTTGTAGATTATATCTCTTTGTTGAAATGTCTTGCAGTATCATTGAACTTTTGTTTTCTTTTTGTCGTTGGCTTCCTTTAAATGTAAATAGTAGTGACGCTTTAAGCAAATGGTGATCAGATCCACATTCTGCTCCTCGATGGACTCTAACGTTATTAACCTTTATTGTGGAGTTTTCTCGTACTTCAAGCTGTTTATGTTTCTCTTAATACAAACTCCCCAACTGAGTTTGGTATTAGCAGGCATATCCAATCGTAACAGAATCTCTAATATAGATGGATCTAGGTATGATTTATTTTAATTGGCAAACGCTTGATTTCATTTAACGCTGAGTAATTATGTTCTGATTTATTGTTCAGTTAGATATCTGTTTAACAATTGCAAATAATATCTAAGTAGTGTTTTATTTAAGACTTTATTCTTCCTAGCAAATTTGACTGATGTAGGTAGTTAAAATTTTACTTTTCACAATTATTTCACCATTAGAAGTTATCATTTAATTTGTAGTAACTTCATCTTTAAATGAACATTCCAAATACTTTGTTTTTTCCTACTAAGTTTCAAACCTTTGTCCTCAAGAGCTTGTCTTCATTGTTTCAGTTTTTGTTCTAAATCCCTGTCAGTATTAATTTACAACTAACACTACATTATCAGCATATAATAAGCACCACGGAATGTTATTCTGTAGTTTTATTATTGTCTGATCCTATACTAGTGAGAATAAATAAAACTAAGCAGCAAGCTCTGATTTATTACTACTTTCACATGAAGTTTATCAGTCTCCCCCACATCTGTCTTAACAGTGGTTTTTACTTCATCATACATATCTCTCACCATCTTCACATATTCACCGGGAACGATTTCTTATTAAACATCCACCACATAATATTTTTAGGATGTCTATCAATCAAATGTTTTTTTTTTAATAAAATAATGTACTTAAACTTCCACCTTACAACGGCATTTGACCGGGTCAAATTAAAAGACGTTATCCACTTACTGTATACAAGAGAGATACCTCTAGGAATAATCAAAACGATCGACAATATCTACCAAATCAAAACAATAAAAGTAAAAGTAGAAGAATAACTAACCGATCTTATTGAAGCTGGCAATGGGGTAAGACAGGGAGATTCATTGAGTCCTCTATTGTTCAACCTGATTATGGATGAAATAATAAAAAAAAGTAGGAACTAAAAAAGGATACCAAATGGGAAAAAAACAACTTAAAATAATCTGCTATGCAGACGACGTAATACTACTCGCTCAAAGTGAAGATGATTTACAATGTATGCTGCATCAATTTAATATAACCGCCAGAAAATTTAACATGTTAATTTAAAAAAAAAAACAAAATGCATGGTTAGAACAGCAAATTTACTAAAATGTAATTTGGAGCTGGAAGGTTAGATAATAGAACAAGTGATATAATTTAAATATCTAGGCATCACATTATCTAGCTACGAAAAGCTCGAAACCGAAGTGGAATATCAAGTGAGTAGAGCAAACAGAGCCGCAGGCTGCCTAAATGAAACAATATGCGGAAATAAAAATATTGGGAAAGAAACGAAAGGCAGAATTTACAAAACAGTCATCAGACCAATAGTGTAATACGCGGCAGAAACAAGACCTAATAGAGAGAGGACAAAAATGATGTTAGAAACAGCAGAGATGAAAACACTTGGAAAAATTGATAGTAAGACACTAAAGAACAGAGCTAGAATTACAGATATACGAAGTAGATGCAAGGTGGAGATCATCAAGAACTGGGAAAGAAATAGAAGAGTAGAATGGAACGATCATATAAGCCGAATGACAACAAATAGAGTAGTAAAGACGGCAAGAGACGGTTCCCCAATAGGAAGACGATCAGTAGGAAGACCACGAAAGAGTCATGTCTGTATAAAAAGAAAAAGTAGAAAAAGAAGAAGAAGAAAAAACATGCTTTTGGTAATGTTAATATTTTTCCAGGCAATCTGTTCTTCTAATTTGGCTCCCAAATTTTTTTATCCTTGGTGTCATATTCAATATATATCTATTCAGCATTGCTTATCTTGTCACTTTATAATTTCTCATCATATTGTTAACATAGTACCAGATGTATATAGTACAGTTAACTTTATTTTTAGGACTAGATCCCGCTTTACCAGGTTTTGATATTAACCTTGTGAAAGGCGAGCGTTTGAACAAAAAAGACGCTGATTTTGTAGACATTATCCACACATGTGCTGGATTTCTAGGTATAAGAGACCCTATAGGGCACGTTGATTTTTATCCCAATGGTGGGGCTCCCCCACAGCCGGGATGTACTATGTTAAAAGTAAGTATACAGTAAGTAACATATATCATATTAATTCTGACTAGTGAAGGAGTATGTTTTCAAAAAATAGGGAATTGTGGATTTAGTTGATTCGATAGATTTTAGTCCTCTACTATTCAATAATATTTATGTTGAGAATATCCTCAGCAAAGGACTAGAGTCCTTTACTATATGTGTTGTTTTAAATGTATTAAAAGTTAAAGCTTCCATTCAGACTGTCCTAGATGTTGAACCTTTTCATCGCTCGAATTGTGGAGCAAACGAACCTTTTTTGCTTAGTATGTATAGTCCATATATATATTTCTATAATCACATCCATCCCTCGCCCACGGGACCTGGACAAGGCTCTAGGCTAGATACCCTTGCCATCAGAAATTACATTAAAAAAATATATATTCCTGGTTGGTCCCATAACAGTGAAGAACTGTAGCAAAATTTCCTTGAAAGCGACGATCAAGAATTAGCCGATGAACTGCTCCATAGCCTAGATGCAGCGAGACAACAAAATGGACGGAAACTGTACAAAGTCTTAATTTTCAAACATCAAGTTAGCAAGAATTGACACTACTAAGAAAATTAGGAAGCGGAATTACCATAACAAAGCCCAAAGCAACAATTAATCCAAACACTATTGTCTCACATATAGTATCGACATCTAGGCCACCGAAAGATAAGCCACACACAATCAAGGTAAAACGAGAGCTTAAAACTTTAAAATTACAAGCTAAAGAAATCGAATACCCCCGCCCTTTTACTTGTAAAAAAGTCACTATAGCTCTTAAGTGTGTAAAGCCAGGTAACACCCGGGATATTGACAATATTCATCTCAAATTCTTAATTAACAGCGGCAAATATGCGAGAGAATGGATGGTTCACTTTTTCACAGACATTAAGAAGACCGTTACCATACCACCGGAACTCAAACGCTCGAAGGTCATTGCCATATTAAAAACAATGAAACCAAATGATGACAACCCTAAGAATTACAGACCAATAGCCCTACTAACGGCGACGTTCAATCTAGTAGAACGACTTATCTACAACAGAATTAGTTTAAAGCTACTTGAATCAATACTGGTTGATCAGGCAGGTTTCCGACAGAAAAGAAGCTGCGCAAATCAGGTTCATTCACTTACCACATTTATTAAGGCAGGGTTCCAGAAAAAAATTAAAACTGCAGCCTCATTCATAGACCTAAAGCGGCTTACGATACAGTTTGGAGAGAAGACATGAAGCTAACTTGAAAAAATAAAGAATAGTTAAAAAACAATGAATCAGAAAAGCAAAGCAATCAAAAGAAATTATTTTAAACTAAGGAAATATCTACTTAATAAATACATTAATTTACCAAGATAAAGAAGTATTATATGTAATTGGTAATAAGGTAATAAGTATATTTTTTCCAGCGGTTATTAAAAAGCTTGTGGTATCTCCACCGAATTTTGGTTTTTCAGGAAGAAATATTTGTAATTGCTTTTTGTGAAAAGATATTAGATGCATCCTTAAACCTGACGTATTTCTGTTTTTCATTTTCATTTCAATCTTTCACTTTTTTACACAAAGCAATTTGGGATCCATAAATTATTTCGAAAAACTCATCGAATTTCGAACTATTTGAATCTTTTTCTCTCATGTCAAATTGTAAAATTGTTACTCCGGGAACAACAAGGATTAGATGAAAAACAATTATTATTACGTTGGACTCAAAGCAAAGCTCAACTGGGAATGAAGTTTAGTGATGTCGAAAAAGTAACTAGTCTAGTAACTTTATGTCCGTTACTATCCAATACCCTAAGTATCTAACAACAAACCCAGAATTATATATCGTTACTTCGCTATTCTAAATATTTCGGTATTTTGTTTACACGGTAGGCGACATTACCTGTTATTAAATTGTCTCGTTACTTTTAAATATTACCCGCGGTTTTTCAGCAAATGTTGTGTAACCGAATGATCTCATCGCACACTCAGCAGAAACAATGTTTAGTCTTAGACCTATAAGATTTGTTTATTTAGATTCCTCCTAACTAATTTATAATGGGAAAAAAATAATTATTAAGTGGGTGTCCGTAACAATAACAATAAGTGTTATATTTTTTATTAGCTAAGGTGACATATTTTTAAAAAAATTTGATACGATATGACTGTCGGTGTCACCATGCAAGATTATTTTATGATCAAAGGGCGGCTATTCTCAAAATCTGGACAATTAATTTCAGAGCGAAGAAGTCGTCTACTGGAAAAGAATGTACAAAATATTCTGCTACTGGATAAAACGACACTCAGTCCTCCCTGCAAGACGCAAGACTTTCGCAGGCGTAAATGGATTTAAGCAAGGGCTCTTGTCCTTGCTTAAATCTTGCATGATCAATTGTTCTTGGTCCTGCTAAAGTTAATCGGTTAGGACGGACATTTCCTTGGATGAATTGGATGTTATTGGCTGTGATGGCACAGTAACAAACACAGGCTGGAAAACGGACATTATTCGCCTAATTGAAGAGCATTTGAATAGACCATTGCAATGGGAAGTGTGTCTTTTGCACTTTATTGAACTGCCATTTCGTCACTTATTTCAAGTTCTTGATGGTGAAACATTCGGTTGTTGAAAAAACGATATTTTCTAATATTTTATGGACGATGCGCGACCGGAATATGTCAATATATCTTTTTTTTACCTTATTTTAATTCTGAACCCTCAAGGAAATATATATATATATATATATATATATATATATATATATATATATATATATATATATATATATTTGTAGTCTCAGCAATTGGTCTGTATGAAATAAAACTCTATTTGTTATTTCTCAATATTTCGTCACGATTTTGTGACTTCTTCAGGAGAAAACTGTAAATTTATTATAATTATTATATGTAAACAAAATGAATATTTCAATACTTACAACTTAAGATTAAAAATTTAAATTTTGAGAACATATCCAATTTAAATAAATGACATTTTTTTGATTTTAATTTATTTGGGAGTTATGGTAACCGCAATATTTTATAGAGTGAATTCCCATTGTACAATTTTTAGTGAATAAGTTTTAATAAACAATTAAATATTGTGACAGTATTATCCATATAATAAGGTGCAAAAGTAGAATATTGAGAAAGAATCAGGAACATGGTAAATTGATCTATAAAATGTAATTGATGGTACGTAGTCAGTTATTGGTCTGATGTTGTTAGATACTGATATTAAGATCTATCATATCATATATTGTTTAGTATATTACAGTAGATATTACTTAAATGGTTGGTGTCTGTCTTATAATTGATAGATTCTGGAGTTTTATTAATGTGTACCATTTCAAGGAAAAGTCGATTTTTGTAATTATCAATTTGTTCCAAGATTTTTACATTATTAAAGTCAAAGTTATGTCCTGTCTTTAAGTGGTGGTCCACTAAAGCACAAGAGTGTTTTTCGTAAGTTACAGTCACTTTTGTGTTGAGTGACACGTTGTTTAAGCCACTGTTGACTTTGTCCAATATAACAACTTTGACATTGACTGCAATTTATTCTATAAATTATATTACTCATTAGTGAATTTGGAGTTTTAACTTTTATTTTTGAGAACAACCTTGAATTTAGAAGTGGATTGTATTTAATTAATTGGTTGTTCTAAATTCAAGGTTGTTCTCAAAAATAAAAGTTAAAACTCCAAATTCACTAATGAGTAATATAATTTATAGAATAAATTGCAGTCAATGTCAAAGTTGTTATATTGGACAAAGTCAACAGTGGCTTAAACAACGTGTCACTCAACACAAAAGTGACTGTAACTTACGAAAAACACTCTTGTGCTTTAGTGGACCACCACTTAAAGACAGGACATAACTTTGACTTTAATAATGTAAAAATCTTGGAACAAATTGATAATTACAAAAATCGACTTTTCCTTGAAATGGTACACATTAATAAAACTCCAGAATCTATCAATTATAAGACAGACACCAACCATTTAAGTAATATCTACTGTAATATACTAAACAATATATGATATGATAGATCTTAATATCAGTATCTAACAACATCAGACCAATAACTGACTACGTACCATCAATTACATTTTATAGATCAATTTACCATGTTCCTGATTCTTTCTCAATATTCTACTTTTGCACCTTATTATATGGATAATACTGTCACAATATTTAATTGTTTATTAAAACTTATTCGCTAACAATTGTACAATGGGAATTCACTCTATAAAATATTGCGGTTACCATAACTCCCAAATAAATTAAAATCAAAAAAATGTCATTTATTTAAATTGGATATGTTATCAAAATTTAAATTTTTAATCTTAAGTTGTAAGTATTGAAATATTCATTTTGTTTACATATAATAATTATAATAAATTTACAGTTTTCTCCTGAAGAAGTCACAAAATCGTGACGAAATATTGAGAAATAACAAATAGAGTTTTATTTCATACAGACCAATTGCTGAGACTACAAATAATATTCAACACAGAACGGTCGAGAATAATTTGATAAATATATATATATATATATATATATATATATATATATATATATATATATAGATAGAGTGTGTATAACGACGCTAAGAATACAATTCTTTGGAGGGTAACTTTCGGGAAAGCGTCAAAACAAGGATCAGCTAGAGATGGTATAAGCCAGCTTGGTGTAGAACTTTATTCTAAATGTGAAATTTTCGGTGATATGTTGTCACCTTCATCAGCACCTAAATGGAAAACCTATTATAGTACAGTGGTGGAAATCAACATTTAAAAACCTACATTGAAAATGTTCAGTTGATCCTAGTTGTAAAGAACACTGTCACAAACATATTAAAAATATTAAAAAATACATTTAAAATTTTGAATAAAAACATTACAACACAAACAGGGTAGTTTTTCAAATACAAACACAACAAAAAGTCTAAAAATTTACAACATACAAAAACTGCAAATAGAAAAGAAGAATTAATCTTCTTTTTTGATGACATTTCTGTCAACATCCGGGTGTCATATGTAACGAGGTTATAATTTTCACTTTTGCACCTCACACACCACCACATGGATACGAAAAGAAAGAGCCCTAGGCAACATAATAAGCAAGGAAATGAAGTCCCCTCTAAAGCACAGGTAGGTAATCTATGCATGTCATGATAAGTCCACCAGCCAGAAACTCTCAAAAAGAATAGCTTTGCACAGGAGTGATGTTGTGAGGAAGCCCACCAGCACAGCCTTTAGCCAACATATTAAGAATACTGGACACACTGCTAACTATGAAAATGTGCAAGTACTAAAGAGGGTTGACAACCAATTTAAGAGAAACTTCATAGAAATGTGCTACATCCATAACTGCAGCTCTCCTATGAACTGTAAGAAAGATGTTGAAAACTTAAGTTGTATTTATTCCTTTCTACTTCAACAGGACTTGACAAGAAGTAACAAACTGGAAAATGTGGGGAACTTATCATGACATGCATAGATTACCTACCTGTGCTTTAGAGGGGACTTCATTTCCTTGCTTATTATGTTGCCTAGGGCTCTTTCTTTTCGTATCCATGTGGTGGTGTGTGAGGTGCAAAAGTGAAAATTATAACCTCGTTACATATGACACCCGGATGTTGACAGAAATATGTCATCAAAAAAGAAGATTAATTCTTCTTTTCTATTTGCAGTTTTTGTATGTTGTAAATTTTTAGACTTTTTGTTGTGTTTGTATTTGAAAAACTACCCTGTTTGTGTTGTAATGTTTTTATTCAAAATTTTAAATGTATTTTTTAATATTTTTAATATGTTTGTGACAGTGTTCTTTACAACTAGGACCAACTGAACATTTTCAATGTAGGTTTTTAAATGTTGATTTCCACCACTGTACTATAATAGGTTTTCCATTTAGGTGCTGATGAAGGTGACAACATATCACCGAAAATTTCACATTTAGAATAAAGTTCTACACCAAGCTGGCTTATACCATCTCTAGCTGATCCTTGTTTTGACGCTTTCCCGAAAGTTACCCTCCAAAGAATTATATATATATATATATATATATATATATATATATATATATATATATATATATATATATATATATATATATAAAATTTCAAAAACAACCAATTTTTTTAAACTTTACGACCAATGCGCGACCGGAAGATATCAACCAATTTGGAAAATTCTTTTTGTAATTTAAAACTCTATCCTAGTAGCAAATTTTCGACGGTATAGCAACAGTATAGCAAAAATAAAAAAAAGTTTTTTTCCTCTCACCCTAACGCCCATGTGTTTGGTATTCCCGTAGCAATGTTTTTGTAGTTTACGTAAGTTTAGAATATAAGTTTGTATGTTTTAAGCTAAGCTGGTTATAATAATTACTGAATAAATTTTTAGTTTGTAGAAGCCTGCAGTCATGGCAGAAGTTGGAAACTGTTTGCGAATAGTATTAAGCTAGATCAAGAATACACAGCCAGTAAGTGTTCAAATCTAGCCAGTTTATCTAAGTCAAAATGTGAGGGTAAGAACATTCCTATGGGATACCCTACACCAACTACAGCTAGAGGAGTTTTCTATATAGAAACCACATCTGAGGAACCTTATATAAAACCGTTTAATTTTGTAGATAAAAATAAAGTAGAATAAAGAAAATATGCTTTTTATTTCTGAGAATTTGGACAATAATAATAAAATATGCCATCTCTTTTAATAGATTAACCAATACGTATTCACATGCTATTTATCAGGTTAATAATAAAATCAATATAAGAATTATTAAAATATATTAAAGATATATAATATTATTTAATATATTAAAATATATTAAAATATATATAAAGAATATATTAAAATTATCATCAAAAAGATAATACAGAACTTAATACTCTTAAGCAGATTGCTTTCAAAAATGGCTATGATCCCAACATTATATACAAACTTCTAAATAGAGCTAAACTAAAAATTGCAGAAAAGCTTGCATATTCATCACAGTTTTTTCAACCTAATGCTTCAGATAACATCAGATATTTCTCCTTCACTTATATTAGTAGCATTTCCAATAAAATATCTAAACGTTTTACTTCTACAATTGATAACATCAAAATTTCCTTTAAATCACATTTAAACACTTTAGGTTCCTTCTTAATCAATACCAAAGGTAGGATGAATACACTTGATAAAAGTGGTATTTAAAAATTAAAATGTGATGATTGTGATGCCTCTTATGTAGGTAGAACCATCAGAAAGTTATCCACTAGAGTCTCTGAACATTTGAAAAGACCAAATTCTTTAAGTTTTGGTCAACACTTAGTATCCAGCAACCACAATTTTAACACCAATTCTGGTTCATCTATCTTACATGACATTAGTAGAAAGAAAAACTATCTTGAGTTGGATTTATTGGAAGATTTGGAGATTACAAGGGAAACAAATGAAAACTCTCACTGTCTTAATACTCAAATTAATTTAAATTGTACTAAATTTAATCCCATATTTAAAAACTTTATTACAGCTTCACCTCGTAGAGGACCCAGCTCGACTGTTTAGACTTCATGCACTGAGCATTTCAATATTAATTTTAAAGTTCTTCCATTGACTGTGGATTCAACTGAACTACTTGGATTATAACCCATTTATATATTTTGCTTTCAATTTTGATTTTAACTTTTAGTAATTTAACTGCATATTCAGATTTTTCCTTTTTACAGTACTGGTAGCGCTTGGTGGACCATTTTATTGTAGTCAACCATCCACTGTCTAATATATTGTTTAGTCTTTTCTTACATTCATACTTTATGTCAACTTCAATTGCTCTCAAACTAACATCCTAATTATTATAGACAGGTTTGAGTGTGAGATTTGGATTATTCAATCTACATAAAAAAAAATATACTATATAATTTTATATTTCATCAGTTGATTACCTATAGTGGCGTCAGTTGGACCTTTGGTCAATACTTAGTTTCATAGAATTTTGAAAGGTGCAGATCACATAACTGCCCTTTACAAGCTGGCATTTGTCACATGTCATCTCAATATTTCCGCTAGACCGGGAGCCCATTCTGTCTCCGGCTTCTATATAACATGTAGCTTCTCCTTTTTAAAAATTTTAAAGTGTTTGTTTGTCTTTGTGTATTGTATTGTTATGTCCAAATTTACATATATGACATTCTACTCATGTCGGATAGGCCACAACTGACGAAGTAAGTCTATAAACGTTTATCACATAAAAACTTTTTTCAACCATAAATTTGGAGTTTTTTATCTAAGTGAATTAATTTTCCTTTTTTATAAAAAACGTTTCTTTGCTTATTTCAGATGCCTCTGAAGATGATCTATTGATCGAAAGTACTTGGGCAAGATTAAATTAACTACTGTGTTCGATAGTTGCCTTGTATACCGTCAAAGTTTAATAATAAAATGTTAAAACATTTTTCACTGTTATTGAACAATATAGATCAATTAATGAAGAAATCGTCGATATTGCTATATGCACAGACTCTCTAGCCTCAATCCAATATTTTCAAAATGTATTCACTGATCATCCTAACTTAAAAAAGTTTCACAACCATTACCAACTTATCTTTTTTCAAAATATAACAGTTACTCAAATCTGGTTACCATCCTATATAAGTATAACAGACAATGAACTTGCAAACCACCACGCAAAACTTAACTTAATATCTTTTGATTAAAAGAAGAACGATGGCAACAACACTGAAACACCAACTGATCAGCTTTACATCAAATACAACATTCAATAGACAGTCCTCCTATTTTTAGCACTACAATTTTATCCAGACGAGATCTTATCGTGGCAAGGAGACTTCGGATCGGACATAGAAAGTTAACATTATGTTTACTTGATGTCATCCAGCCACCGACCTACTTGTCAAACTTGACAATCACATTTGACAGTCAATCATGTACTCATCGAATGCCATCAATATTCTGTCAAAAGACAGTTTTATCGCCTCACACGAAATACAAGATATCCTAAGTAATTTTAATTAAATAAACTCCGCACTAAAATATCTAAAAGATATTCAGTTGTCTTATAAAATATAATTTTATTACACGATTTCATTTCGTATTTTGTAACAAATTGTTTATTGTAACATTTTTTCTTTTGTAATCGTCCTTGTGCAAGAAACCTTATTAGCCGAGAACATTAATTAAAAAATCTGTTATTCTATACTTAAATTTAAAAAATACGAGTTCCTTCGTTGAAAAATGTAAACAAAAATGATCATCATTTAGTAGCTTCAATTTAGTTAGTTAAAGGCGGAAATACACCATTCAATTTGGTTGAACAATGTGGATAATTCAATTACATTGTTCAATCAAATTGAAAAGCGTACATACAGATTGAACGAAATAAATTCGGAACATAGGAATATAATGTATTTCGGCTCAATTCTGCTGTAGCTGGTTGGCCAACAAAAGATTGTCAAATAATTATATTATAAAAAATCCCATACTTAAGGGGGCTGCTGGATTCTGAACTCATAAAAATTGAAAGCTACACATAAATCTACGATTTTATTATGCTGTCAAACCAGTTATAGTCCAGGAAATGTAGCATTTCACCTCGCAATTTTTTCGTGCGGCGTGGATTGACTTGAAATTTAACAGAAGGTAGGTAATAGCCTAAGGATCAAAATCTATATCGAACCAAAGTGCGCCAAAGCCTAGGGGGTGGTTGCCACGCCCTCCGGGGTGAATTTTTTTTTTTACGTTTTAACTACAGGTTTCGATTAGAAAAGTGATTCTAAACAAAAAATGTGCTATACATTTTTTTATAAAATGATATTTTTCAAGTTATTCGCGATTGAAAGTAACAACTTTTAGACGAAAAAATCCACGTTTTTAATCGATATTTCGCGAATAACTCGAAAATGGTGCATTTTATCAAAAAAATTGTAGAGAACAAATTTGTAGATTTTAAAAAAGACAAATACAATTACAAATACAATATCAATGTTCAGCGGTTTTCTTCAAATGCCAAATTTGAAAGATTTAAAGTCAAATATCGGGAAAATGATGCATTTTTGGAAGAAAACTCACAAAACGTTTTTTAAAGAGCATAAATAGACCTATCATAAAAAAATAAGGTCAATACCTCATTTTTTACGAAAAAATCGAGGAAAACAACAACCTAACCACTCCCATAATTAAAATCGATCTTCACCCTTCTGCAATTCCCTTTGTAGATGTGTTGTTAATACGTCCAAGAAGTTTGACCCATTTAAAATGCTTAGTTTTAGAAAAAGTACAGCTTAAAGCGAGAAACGATTTACAATTTCATATTTTTTACCCTTCTTTTTTTAAATATGCCCGAAAATACTAAATATATGAAAAAAATAAAAATCACCAAATTGTAGCTTTTTTAATGACTAAAATTATCCTTTATTTAGATTTGTTGTACAATGAATATTTGACGAGATATAGCCGTTTAAAGCATCAATTTACGACCAAGCACCATCTTTTTCGAGCCCTTTAAACTCACCCCATTTAAAAACCGAGGGTTCCAAAAAGATTTAATTCACAGATCCTTGTAGCTATTAAAAACCTCTACAAATCGTTTTTAAAGAAACATCTATCGTTAAAAATTAAAGGAAATACGTTAAAAAAACCAGTTAATTTTTTTCCGGAAAATTCCATTAGTATAGTACAGTACATTTCGGAGCATAATAATCTACAAAACCGGTATATTAGCTAGTGGGGCGTTATACATTCGAAATTTTAAGCGTTCTTATTATGAAATCCCATACAACAGAATACAACAGAATATGCGGCGTTTCATATGGGTGCAGAAAAGTTGGTTTATACTGTAACTCTACTTGTTCTGGGTGCTCAGGTGAAGGGTGCAATAACAGTCCACCAATAATTGAGGAAGATGATGATGACATAGATCACATGAAGATGTAATTGATGACGAATAAAATTAATATTATAATTGTTTTACCTATAAATGTAAATATTTTCAACTATTTATGTAAATGTATAAGAATATATGGTGCCTTTTTGTGTTGATAATTTTTTTTTTGTATTTAATTCTACTTTTTTCAATTTATATCTTATAAATTAGTTTATAAAAACTGCAGTGTTGTAAAGGGTGGTTTTCAAAAGTTGAAAAGTTGCAAAATTTTGGCAAAAAATTGTTTTCACCTATAGCACTCATAACAATTGATTTTTAAGGGTTGAAAATGTATGAATTTGTATTTTAAAGTATAAAAAACTCACTATTTAACTAATCCAAACCAAATTTCACTCATCTTAGGATTTGTAATATTATTTTACAATTTTTGAAAATTAGGGGTAGTTTTCACCCCTAAGAACAATCAGGGTTCATCGGCATGACATAAACTATAAAGTAGAGGGTGAGTTGAGCTTAATTCCAAATTTTTATGCAAGTCGTTCCAAGGTGAAATCATTTTCTTCGCATTACTAATTTTTTTATATTAATCTCTAATGAGGGTCGCTTTACGCTTTTCGAACTTTATTGAAAAGCACGAAACTATCATTATTTAATTAATTCAAACCAAATTTTACCCATATTCAGGTTTAATATGTTATTTTATAATTTTTGACAATTAGGGGTAGTTTTCACCCCTAAGAACAATCAGGATTCGTGGACATGACAT